AGCCCCGCACTCACCAGCTACTGCAGTGGCCTCGGGGCTTCTGGGGACTCGTGGCAGAGCCCCCCATGCAGTGCGAGGCAGTGGGGATTGGCCCCACATCTGGCAGGAGCCAGTAAGTTTGGGGCTTTTTATTTTTTTCTTTAAAGCTAGGGGCAGCTGAGGGCAGGGGTCGGGGAGCTCATTTCAGAGCCCCCCCACACAGTGCAGGCAGCATGGAATACCACCCCCCCCCCCCACCTGGTAGGAGCTGGTGAGTTGAGGGATTTTTATTTTTAAAGCAGGGAGCTGGGGCCCGGCAGCGCAGCCATTGATGGGGCTGGGAGAGCGGGCAGGGGATGGGGCCTGTCCAACTTGGAGATTTGGCAGCAGCCAAATCGATTCGGGACAGTGATTTGAATCACTGAATCGAATCACTGTCCCCTGAGTCAGCCGAATCCTAATCTGAAGCGAATACTAGCCACTTCACACAGGCCTACCAATAAGGAGACCTGGCTGTACTGGGACACATCCTGGCACAGCTGATCCACTTCATTTGGTGACCTCTATTCCTAGCCTTAGAACTGGAGGTAATGCCAATCTGAGTTGGAACAGTGGAGCCAATGCAGATGATAAGCTACCAAACAACATGCATATATATACCTTCACTACTTCTTATGCTACTGTTTTTTACCTAGAGATGTGTGAAAGTGGTCTCATGTTGGTACATGCAATGAACCAGCTGCCCAAAATGTCACAAAAAAGCATCCATGAACACTGTGAAAAGGGGAAATGTGTCACTGGAAAAACTATTCTCAGAAGGGAAATGGGCAATTAACTGTTGTGGCCTGCACAATATCTTGTCCGTAAGTATGAACACACAGGGAAGTTGTGAGCTTGTTACCAAAACAGCTTTCAGTTGCTATGTCTGAACATTAAATCACTTACAGATAACGATTAAAAACTACTAACAGTGGAGAACAGCAAAAGAATACGCTAATTCCAATGTTCTTACCCAAATCAGGCATTTACCCATTTTAATTTCTTATCATGCAGTTCAGTTATATTTAGGCTATGCATGCAAAACTAAATATGGATTACCTATGTGCCTGCTTTTTAAATAAACACATTCCAATATCATCCTGCCTTGTATTAAGCTATATGTTCCTTCATTTCAAAAGAAGCACATTCCAATACTGCCTATTTTTATACCCAGCACAAGTCCTTTGGTTCTATTCACTCAGTTCTGCTGGGTAACATCCAATCCTCCTAGGTTTTCTAAGTTATTGGGGAGTCTTAGCAGCTACCCCTTCTAGTTATTCGAATGGTGGCTCAGCCACCATTCCACTGCTTTTCTTTGTTGTAATAACAATAAAGAAATAACTTTGTCACTTATTACTTCTTTGTTAATCATAGTCAGAGGTAGTCCTTTGCAATTTGTTTTTTTGTACATTGAAAGCTTTGAAGTGGTGTTGCGCGTAGCAGCACATTTCTATCAAAACAGTAACTGTTATCATCACTAAAAAATCCAAGGTTTTGATTACAGAAAACAGGGTTGCATCCTCCAGATCTGCCCACAAAAAAGGAGTTTTTCATTCTTCCTGCATTCATGCCATCTCTTCAATTTGGTGTCAAATTAGGTTACAGGAACCAAGGTCTTCTTACTGTGTTTTACTAATCCTTGTATTTTTGACTATTAGGGGAAGCAGATTTACCAATAAATAATTTATGTTGCTATGTGCGGCAGTACTTTGAAAAATGACATTGTTTCCTAAAGCACTAGGACAAAAATCAGGTCTTGCAAGACGCAGTCAAAATCAGAAAATGGAAATCTTTTTGGAGACAGAACGTGTGGGTTATCTTAATGCTTCTGGTTAAACTGTGTCAAATTCACCTAGCTAACCAGACCACCTCAGGAGTCTCAGATTGCAGGTGGGAACTGAAACTTTTCCATCTGACCACTGATGCAAAACAGCAGTCTCTGGTCTCTGGCATGGTTAGATTTCTAAACCTTATTTGTCCAGAAGACAGGGGTGGATCGGGGGGAGCAGGTTAGGGACTGGGGTGCTTGTATCCATCCTGCTTTGATTTCTGATCCACCCAAAATATAAAACCAACTGCCTGGCAGTGTCAGCAGGATCTATAGCCAGGCAGTGCTGAGGAACTCAATTGATTTCAGGGCTCATTCCTGATCCCTTCTAAACACTACTTCACAGGTGTTAATGATCCTCTTTTCTTTTTAATGGTCTTGATGTTCCATCATCAAGGAAACCAAGAACAAGAAGGCCACTGGGCATGGCATACCTGCTGAAATGTACAAGGCTGGTGGCAGGGAACTGGAACCAAGACTCCACAAATTTATTCTATGCCTTTAGAACAACAAGAGAGACTCTTGGGGGGCCTGAGGAATACCAACATCATGCCTAGCCCCTGCTAGTAGGAAAGCTTCCAGTTTCTCTTTAACTGGAGAAAAATACACAGTTTCTACGTGACGCCGCACCCCGCTCCCGTACCCCATGTGCGACCACGGCAGCCGCGGGAGCCTTTCTCGGGGATCATTGTGGCGTTGGGATTTCGGTTGTCGGGCAGAAAGAGCCGCGTTCATGGGGCTTCTCCACACCCCCGACCGGACCCGTAGCAGACACCTCGCGGCAAGGCGTCACGCCACACAAGACTCCCTCCTGCACAGCTCGCAGAGGGTGGGCGGGGTTCGGGGGCTTTGCCCCCGTTACCATGGCAGCGCCGCTGGCTTTTGGTGCCCTCTTCAGACGCCGGGCTCGGGCAAAGGCGGCGTGAGTCCGACAGCCTCCACCGCAACACGAAACCTTCTGGTGTGGTCTCTCCGCCCCGTGTTCGCCAGTCCGCCCTCAAGGCGGGGCCCGCGACGGGGATTTCTGATCAGGCGCGCAGCGGAAAGGCCCCAGTGCGGGGCCTCGCCGCGTGCTGGAGGAGTTGCGGTGCATTGTGGGTCTCTCTCTCTTTTCGGCTCCAGCTCGGGACGCGGCAGGATGGGTGAGCGCTGGGGCCGAGCCGAGTCGGGCTGGGCGGGGGAGGCGGCGGTATCCCCTTCGCTCCGGGAGATGGTGGTGGGACGCCTCGGCGCGAAGGCGGGCGGGGCGTGGTCCCGCTCCTTGTGTCCTGGGTACGGCTGCGGCCTCGTGCTTCGTCCGGCGCAGGCCCGAGCCTGGCGGCGCCGCCATGACACCTCCCCCCGGGCGGTTGTCCCGGCTGCCGGCCGCCCGACACGGCCGATGGTTCCGTGTCGTCCCCCCGCTGCGGAGGCGAGTGGTGCCGCCCGGCTGGGCTGGCGCCCCGTTCTCCCTCGTGCTCTGAGCTGTGGGGGGGTCTTAGGAGCCCCCTGTCGCGGCCCGAGCCCGGCGCCCGCTGCCCTCGCGCTGCCCGTGTCTTTTGGAATAAAAGCAAACATACTTCTGTCACTTCGTCAGAGCCGGCCACCTCTTGGCCGCCTGGTTTTCCTGCACCACGAGCTGGCGCTGCATGGAGAAGCATGTTTCTGCCAGGGCCAAAACCGGGTGCCCCTGCCCTGAAGGATGAGACCGCCGGCCTATGTCACCAGCCAGGGGCCGGGCCTTCGGGATCGCCCTGCACAAGGGTGCTGTCACTCGTCCTGTGCTAGTTCCCTTCTCTGTGTAGGGTCAAATTGGGTTATGGGGACTGAGGCTTTCTTAGCATGTTTCCTGTGGTGTTGGTCAGAAGGGAAGCAGGTTGACCAGTAAGCGGTGCGAGTTGCCAGGAGCAGCAGTGAATTGAGCCAGTGTTTGGCATCATCCTTTGGCCTGTAAGCGCTGGTCCTGATCTGGACTGTCCTGTGCTGAAGCAGTCTCCTTGAAGTTTCCAGCTAGCTTTTTTTTCCTCTCCACTGAACAGTGGTGTTATTTTAATTTATACAGTTTGAGTTATGCTTCTTTATTTCCTTTCTACTTTCAGGCCCAACTGCCTTTTCACACTGTTGACAAAAACAGTGGTGTGGCATTGGTTTTTTGGTTTTGTTTTTTTGAAGCAACAAGCTTGAATTTTTTTTTTTTTAAACTAGACGAATGCCAGAGCAATGCTATACAAGTGCAGTTCCTGCAAGTCTTCATGGTGTTGCCATACCAAGCCCTACTAGAGGATTAGATCATTTAGAAACTGCCACTGAAATCTGGGTGTTCTCATCTATGTCTTAGAAGATCTAACTAAAGATCTCACTGCCTGTTTATTATTGTAATAAGGGCTATGTTTTGCCAGCATGGCCACTGCGATACTATCAAGGATAAGTTTTAAGTAAACTCACAGTTTTTATGATACATGTAATTGCCAACATTTATTATATTTTGAACTGTTAATAACTGTGGTAGTAACATGTTTTAAATGATGCATAGTGAAATGCATTCTATTAACTGCAAGCAAATGTTGACTGTGTAACAAGTTGAACCTGCGGGTAAAAGCTTTTCTTGCTCCATCAGGCAGCGAGGAAGGGTGGGCTAGGGCACTGGAGTCAGTAGGCTAGAGGGAGGGAGTCAGTGTACATGGGACATAGCAGGAAAGGATCCAGGGGGGCATGACCAAGGGAACCTGGAGGGCCAAATGATGCATAGTGGGACTTGTAGTTCAGCCGACAGGGGAACCATTAGTATGCCTGGTTGTACCAGTTACTTCCTTGTCCCCCTTTCAGCAGCACTGGTGCTAATGTGGCTTCTGTGTGACCACCTGCTTTTTACCCATGCTGAGAGGGGCAGTTCTGATCAGTTGGGGTGTAGCCACTCCACACAGGATCCTAGGTGTGCTGTGTGGGTGCTGCATTGTATTGTGGGTCCTTCCCCTCTCAGCTCCTGCCCTGTATGTGGAGACATGGACAGCCCCATGTCCCCCTGTGGGGAAGGTGTCAGTGGGGAGCTGTTCCTGGCACCTGACCTGCCAGGGATGGTGGTATCACTGTGTTGGGGGTCAGCAATTCAGTTTGGTACCTGGAGCCAAGTGGGTTGGGGGGGTGGGGGGGAGAGGGGTAGTCATCAAAGGTTGGAAAGGGGGATCATGATAGGCTGTGATGCTTGTTTTTGTGTTGCTGGGGCTGCACTACCTAATGCACTGCCATATTTTGTAGGCAAGTGTCGGGGACTGCGCACAGCCCGGAAACTCCGCAGCCACCGCCGTGACCAGAAGTGGCACGACAAGCAGTACAAGAAGGCACATTTGGGCACGGCACTGAAGGCCAACCCCTTTGGGGGTGCATCCCATGCCAAGGGCATTGTCCTTGAGAAAGTGTAAGTGTTGAGCTGTGGGGAGTGATGATCAAGACTTCCGACTCACTTCAGTTAAGTTTCTGCACTGCTAAGCTGATTCACACAGCCGTAGTATCTCCAAGTCGGCGCACTCTGGGCTCTTGTGCATTAGGAGCAGATAGTTTTGGATAATCTGAAGCAGGGAATCTGGCTTTTTCTGCATCGTCCTACTCCTTTATGTGCAGCCTTATCATTAGTATCAGTATCCAAATGGTACAATCCCAATGGTGCTGTACATATGGAACTGAAAGGTTGGTGGGGACAGTGTGTTCATATTTAGGGTTTAGTGCTTTTTTTTACTACCTTTTAACCACTTTTATTTTTAACCAATATGAATTAATCCTGCTGCTGTTACTACTTCTTAATCTCCTGGTCACAGAGAGCATGAGCAAACATGTACCTGTTCTGAATTTTTTATTGCAAAGAGATGCCACTCTTATGTGGGTATCTGCTTTTCAGAAAGCATGTGAACATCTTGGGCTAATGGGAAAAGGAAATCTTTAGCACTAAATTGCATGAATTTTAAAGGAGTTATTGCAAATGGAGACAGGCATTCAGTTTCTTAAGGCACTAGAACAGAAATTGGGTCTTGCAAGAAGTATTTAAGAAAACAGAAAACTTTTTAAAATCGAGCATGTCGGGTATGTTAATGTTTCTGGTTTAAGTGTTTCTCTACAAAGCTAGCTCATGCTTGTTACAATTCCACTGAGCTTATTCAAGAAGCTGCTCCTCATTTGCCTCTAATGGAAACTTTGCACTAGTTTGGAGAATTATTGGAGTTTGGAGAAGTATTTCTTATCCAACTGCTGACTGACAGACCTTTCTGTTACCATAGATGACTTAATTTAAAACAATCCCTCTTTCATTTTCATTTAGAGGTGTGGAGGCTAAACAGCCCAATTCTGCCATCAGGAAATGTGTCAGAGTCCAGCTGATCAAGAATGGCAAGAAAATAACAGCATTTGTTCCCAACGATGGTTGCTTGAACTTTATTGAGGTGAGTGACCTCTAAAATGTTAATACTAGAAGCTGGTATAGAGCTCCACAGTGAGGTTAGGTTGTTGACATTATGTTCATGGAATCGGGCATTTGCAAAAAATGGTCGTAATTATTTTCTTAACTCTTTCATAGTGTTCATAACTGGTTTGAAGTGTTTAAGCTTCAAGCTTCTTAATCAAAACCCGAGTACGTTACATGTGAAAGATTTCTTTGACCAATGCATGTTTTCTTTCCTGAGTATTCTCAAACTTTATTTTGACTCTCATTTAACTAAAACCTTTGTTTCTCAATTGTTTGTAATGTTCTACTGGCTTTTTCTAATTGTAGGAAAACGATGAGGTTCTGGTTGCTGGCTTTGGTCGAAAGGGTCATGCTGTTGGTGACATTCCTGGAGTTCGCTTCAAGGTTGTCAAAGTAGCCAATGTTTCCCTGCTAGCCTTGTACAAAGGCCAGAAGGAGAGACCAAGATCC